AGTTTTTGACGAAATCAAAAAAGCGGTGGCGAACATTGCTCAAATCAATTACTACAATCCCTTGAAAGATACGCGTGTTAAATATGATGCGAGCCTCATTGGCCTTGAGGCAACCCTTGAAAAAAAACCGGGGAAGGGGACTGGATTCCGATCGCATTTGCTTCACGGTATTTAGATGCCCAGAAGAAAACATATTCGACAAATGAACTCGAACTGCTAGCAGTTGTATGGGCAGTTGAATGATTTAAACATTATCTTTTGGGCAGGGAGTTTACAATAGCTACAGATCACAAAGCCCTTGCATCCGCGTTGGGTGAGACTCGTTTGAGTAAAACGTATCAATCTAGACTCACTAGGTGGGTTCACAGATTGTTACCATATCAGTTCAAGATAGTACATATACCTAGAAAGGATATGGGAATATTCGACTATCTATCAAGGGAGCCATATGGGGAGCCGTGGCCAGAGTATGAACTAGATGAAAAGTTCGTAGTAACATCTATTGGAAAGGTTGATTAGGCTCTCTACTGCTTGAACAGTCGGCTAAATAGTACTAACGAGCATAATCAGAAAGAAGATATTCTAGAATAGTCTAGTACAAACACTGGTTGTAAAATTTTTATGAACAGGTCATCTTATGGATGCCATAGCAACCAAATTGGTTCAAAACGAACAGGGCTCGACCGGAAGGAAAACATTCAAACCTGACGACTATCAAATTAAAAATCAAACAGTTTATGCAATTTCTCTCATTCAAATCAGTTGGTAAAGACAATTTCAAAAAATTGGACTTCATCGGGAAATTTAGCAAAAAGAAATAACGAAATGGGCAAAGGAAATTCGCCGGGCAAAGAAAATAATAAGACCGAGAAAGACAAGGCAAAGAAAATGGTGAGAATCAGTGAGAGCAGACAGTGTGGTGGACAGAATCAGGTGACAGAAGTAATCATGGAAACAACTTTTCAACAACCGCGTTCAATCAAACGTGCAGCGGAGAAAAAAAATGAGACAAATTCGGATAGCTCGGACTCGATAATCCCATATGCTGAGTGGAAAACAATGGGAAAACGCAGAAGAAACCTAAGGAGACGGGACCCTCTACATCAACGATGGCGGTTAGCAATACTGGAACTGCTGCATCAGCATTTTTTAAGGAGTTCGGAACGTACGCTTCAGTGGTGGCGAAGAAAGAGTCTTCAAAGTTAGTCTCGTTTTGGGACCTTATCGGCTTAGAAAGATAGGATAGACCAGGATCTATGCCGGACTTGGAGGCCCAGTCGGAGATGGTCAGCCCAAGCACGGAAGAAGGCGGTGACTGTAACACAAGTGGAGTACCAATCGTTGAGGTAGACCTCACGGCCGATCGCCCAGAAGAGGACAGTCATGAAGTTAGTGTGGATTCGCGAAGCGTCAGACATCTATCACGAAGAGGATCAAAGCGATATACCAGGGGGACTAGACAATCTGTCAATTAGCGGAACTTATTACGGAGGACACCAGAGTTATCGAAAAGAACGACCGCCACAGCTTTAAACTGATGGGCCCATATACCAACCCACCAGGGCACCAGTTAACTGTGGTGGATGATTATATCCTAGTGGACAATTGGCTGGCGTTACCATGCCAGCTGCGCCCAGCGGTCTTAAAGAGAATTCACCGCGGTCATCCTGGTCAGGAGTCGATGTTAAATGTGTCCCATTATTTATGGTGGCCGCATATGCACAAAGATAATGTCAACTTGGCCGCAGCTGCACTGGCTATGGTAAGAATGCTAAGTATATCATTCCAAAAAATGCTATCAAACTTCTACCACTGCTAACGCAGCCAGGTCAGGAATTTGAATTAGACTATAAGCGACCGTTGGAAGATCTTAAAGGGAAGAAAATTTATTTGCTTATAGAGATGGACCGCTATTCAAAATTTTCATCGGTGCAAATTACTAGATCAACTTGGAGAAAATCTTCAATTAGGTTTCTTCGTACTTACATTGATACGCACGGAATACCGTAATCTATAAGAACTGACCTTTTTCCGGGTCCAAGGGGAAAGCAACGAAAAAATTCTGTAGAGAAAACAACAATGAACAAAAATTTTGTCCGCTGGGAGATCACCGAGGACGTGGGCTGGGCGAACGAACTATTCAAACCATCAAGAGAAGATTGGGAACAATGCTTCTGGATGAAAACTCCGTATCAATTAAGCTTTCTCTTAGCACAATAAAACGGGACCTTAGATGGACTAAACAAAAAACTATACAACGTTCTTTGTTCGAAACGCAGTTTGGACGCCTTCAAAAAACGGAATTTAAATTACAAACGGATAAATTTTTGTTTAACTCTGACCGCGTAGATAAAAACACGGTCAGCCCACGGTTTGGACAGCAGATCGAGTCAGTGAAAGCCAGAGATCGTGCAACGGCGTTGAAAAAACTCTTTTATTCGTGGGAGAGGGTTTTCATAGAAGATAAACCAGAGGAGCAACACAGAATTGTATTACCGGTTTTGCGCCGGGAATATAAAAACCGGAAAAATGGAAAGCCTCTAACAAATCTACTAACGGGGAAAGTGATGCTCGAAACGCAATTTACTGTCAAAACAGCAGCGGGGGCAATTTATCTTAAAAATGATATTGCCCAATCTAAAGTAAAATTAATTCCACCGGAACAACAAATGAACCCGAGAAACGCATAGAATACGAAGAGTGATGAACCTAAGCACAAACAACAAAAGAAAAACAATAAATCACAATGGGGGAGTACAGATTCAGAGTACGAGCAATCGCAGCAGACGAAATCGGAGAGACTAATGCACACTAATGCTTTCAAGAGAGCCCATCAAGAGTCACCTCAAGAGACGCAGAGACAGGGGGGAGGACTAAATCTAGCAGTGAAAAGGGCGAAGCCAATTAATGTTGGACCCTTTTTGAGCGTACCGAGAAGTCAGAACGATATAGCCCCATGAAAGACGACAAAAAGCCTACAGTGCAGGAAGCTCGTCGGGGGAAAGCTGCTTCAGCAGTAGCCCACAGCACAGACAAGTCACAAAATCAAACCTTGAGCCCAGGTTCATCACAACCGGGAATTTCAAAATTGTCCACTCCGATCAAACAGCAGACAAAAATGAAAGCAATCAGACGCCAGAGCGATTGAGACACAATACTAGAGGCATTCCAGAATCAAGATATGACAAAAGACGAGTGGGAGAAGATGGCAGACCAGGTACTCACACGCGGCGTGCAGATATTCTAACAACTCGGGATAATGATCAGGCAACGTCAGAAAGCCTGATAGATACGCCACCAGGATTCTGAGATGAGTCAAACAAACACGAACATGAACCAATTGACCGACACACGATGAACCAGGGACCCAAGAGGTTCGGTGATCCAATTAATTATTCTGTACGCCTAATCTGTTCCGAGGACGATATAACTGACTTAAATAAAGCAGCTTTGGAGGCGTGCCGACTCAAAATGGCGATGTTTAAAACTGACACGAGCAAACCCACAGAATCAAAGCTGGGTCTTCTCGAAAGACATCTGTTCAGAATAAAATTCGGATATGCTTCGTTGGATAAGACGCGATCATGGATTGCGTAGTGGCGAGTTCCATTGCGGTTCGAGTTGACGGAGGAAGAAAGGGAGGCAAATTGAGACGCAGTAGAGAACAAAAAACGGAAAAAGAAGGCCAAAGGACTCAATTTGTGCGTAAAACAGTAAACTGAGCTTCTAAAATCCTATAGTATTAATTAAAATTTTATTGTGATAGTATAAAATTTATTTGTCCTCGGGGGAATGTGGTACAGTAGCTACAGCTGCAGTCATGCTACAGTAACTTTGAGAAGTGCATATGCTTATCTATATATCTATTGTTAGTATTGTTTAAGGCCACTTCATTCTGACCGTAAAGGTCTCATGACTGAATTCAGTTCTTCGGTACGCAGTTACTTAACTCAGTCGGACTCAGTATATCAGTATATCAAAAGAAAAGAGAAACAGATTTCATATTAATTAAAATTCTGAATTGTACAATTTTGTCTTCACTTCGTTTAAGCAGTCCTAGGCGATATCACAGGGGGGATATGGAAAAGAGCCGAAATAAGTCATGCAGTCCTAAGGATCTTGAGATGATCATAGCTTACAACCTCACCCAATCACCTTGGCTCTTTTTCCTCTCTGCCAGTTGATACGAGTTCTCAAATGCTATTTTAAATTGGCTCTTTTCCACTTCCCCCTTTTAATTTTTTCGGAAGATTAATAGATAAAAACGTGGGCTCTTTTCCAGTTTCCCCCCTTTCAAAATACCGAGTTTTATGTTTGTTTTACGTGTTATTACGGCTAAATGTGTGATGTTACGCTGTAACGTATGAAGAACAAATCTTTTCAAAAATGTCGATTTGTTCACCACGTCAAATTTTATTGCATGATGACAAGGTTAAATATAATTTTAAAAATTGATTTGAAAGGCGGGGACTGGAAAAGAGCCAAAACTTATTTAAAATGTTTTTACAAGTTATAAACTGCATTGAAACGTGTCAGCGTGAACAGGTGAACAAATTTTCACAACATTTCTTACATGCAAAATGCCGTGTTAACAATTTTTGAACAATTTTTTTTGAAAATAGCCTTTAAATTGAGTTCGGCTGAAAAAATTCTACATTACTACATTGAAAATTTAAAATGTGGGGTGGGGGTGTGAAAAAGAGCCGCCCGCTATAATGGAACATGTCAATGTCAGTGTGCACAAGAGAACAATTTTAAACATGTTTCTAAAACCCACCTTTACGTTATGTGAGCAGTTTTTAGACCATCTAAGTTTGCGAGGGGCAAAAATCTGAAAAAAAAAGATCCGGGAGAGAAAATGCTCCTCCCGCTATAGTCCCTTATCCTTGTATAAAATATAGCTTCTACTACCCGTTAATTTTATTACTTGGGGGAAGGGGGGCTATAACTTGCTGAGGCGATATAATGTGAAGGAGCCGAAAACATCGATTCTTTTTAGAATGGAATCGAACACCAAAAAGTGTCCAGCGCGACTAACTACCGCTCGCGACCAAATCTGTCTGGCGTCTACATACACGGGTGGTCTCTGCTTCGGAGACGAAGGAGCACCCGCCTACATCCTGGACAAAAGAGGCAACCCACAATGCCTCATTGGAATCCTGAGTGTCATTGAATACTACCCGGACGATCTGTGCACTGATTGGGGTGTGTACACTGATGTGAGGCAACACCGATCTTGGATCGAGCAAAACTGGGTCTAGGCTCGGACACTTAGCAAAGTCAAATAAGACGAACAAAGTTAATAAGCAATATTAACGTCACTAAGAAATAAAACTTAAATAAATGCAAAATGGTTCATATCCTTGCTCTGAAAATTGTCGATTCGATTCAATTTATTTGTTCTAGGCTGTGGTGAGAAACTGGAAAAGAGCTTTTAAATTGAGTTTTGCTGAAAAAAAATTGTACTGCATTACTACATTTAAAATGTGGGATGGGGGTGTGAAAATGAGCCCCCCGATATAATGGAACGTGCCAATGTCAGTGTGCACAAAAGAACAATTTTAAACATGTTTTCAAAACCCACCCTTACTTTATGTGAGCAGGGCACTTAGCAAATTCAAACAAGACTGCTCATATCAGAGCGAAGCCCTGAATGTTCCGACTGCCTTTTAAGGTTTATGGAGCAGTAATAACATAAAAAAATTAAATGTAATAAAACAAAATTAAAATTTTTTTTTCTTAAATTTGAAATTTTTATGAAAATCATCCACCCACACGCATTGTAAAGTACAAAAATATAAATTTCGCTCCTTGTAACAAATCAATTATGGCAATTAAGCTTCTTTCAACCAATTTGGAACAATTTCTAAGACGGATTAACTCTCAGGTACGAGTTAAAAGCGCGAATTGTATCGCGCATTATTTGTCCCAAAATGGCCAAAATGCCAATGTTTAAACCCCCATAACTTTACGAAAAATGATCACAAGTGAAACATCTTTTCAAGTTTGAGCTCATGACAACAATATCTTTTGAATGATATTAAAAAATTCCGTCAAAAATGGCTAGTTAACAAGTCGAAATGTGTCTGAAGAAAAAAAACCCACCCCAAGCAAAAATATTCCGTTACTTTCGTATCGAAAGTCGGAACAATAAGACCAACAAAGTAACTAAGCAATAATAATGTCACAAAGAGATTAAACTTAAAATAATCGATGGTTCATATCGCTGCTCTTAAATTTGTCGATTCGATTCAACTTATTTGTTCAAATTACAGCTAAAATGATCATTTTCAAAGGTTCTAACATCCATTTTTTTTGAAATATTTAGAGTTTGAAATTTCGTGCAGCCTTATACCCGGATAACCTGGAGAAAAATGTTTCTTGATAGCCGAAAAATTTTAATGCAAAGGAGAGTATCATAGAAGAAAAACCATAACAGCTACAACAGCCTTAAATTTCCTTAAAAAACAAAATTTATAAAAAAACGTTTTCTCACTTTCCGAAACATGACAAGTTTTTGATTTCTTCCGCCACATATGAGCTGTGCCCAAGCGATATAAAATACCTTTTCGTGAAATTTTACGTGGCAGGGACACATTTGAGAACAATCAGCTTATAAATGCAGGTTTTATGAACTTTTTTTGAAAAAATCTCTCACTCCTACCTTACAAGGCAGTTGCTCGATGGTACTGTAATTGAGGCCCTCGCTCTGCGCAATTTCTCTGGTTGAAAAAACATAACCATGAAAAAATTTCTTCTCATCTCGCCGAAAAAATTGATACACTTTTTTCTTACTATCTCCCCACTTTTCAATTATCTAGTTTTATAGTTATACGTGTTTTTTTACCTAGATGCGTGACTTTAGGATGTAAAGTAGGAAGAAAAAAACTGTTTGCAATTGTTAGTTTGTTCACTATGCCAAGTTTTGAAGTCCGAAAAATTTAGAGCGATTTTCCAAAATTGAAGTTTAATGGTGGGGGGGGGGGGGGGGGGTTGGAAGAGCCAAATTAAATTGCATTCATGCAGTAGCCTGTATATTCCAGTTTATTAAAGCAAACTTTTATCAAAAAAAAATTACTCCTACTTAATCGGATTTTTTTTAAACTTACAGTTTGAAATAAAGGGATTTAATTATTCCAATAGAGCAGTGCCGTATTGGTGACAAATCTGCTTAATTGGTTATTGTTCCGACTTTCGATACGAAAGTAACGGAATATTTGAGCTCGGGGTGGGTTTTTTTTTCTTCCTGTTCCTGAGCTTAAATTTGAAAAGATATTTCACCTGTGATCTTTTTTCGTAAAGTTATGAGGGTTTAAAGATTGCCATTTTGACCAATTTGGGACAATAAACGCGCGATATAATTCGCGCTATTAACGCGTAAGCGGAGATTTAATCCGTCTTAGAAATCGTTCCAAATTGGCTGTAAGAATCTTATTTGCCATAATTGATTTGTTAAAAGGAGCGAAATCTATTGTTTTGTACTTTATATGGCGTGTGGGGGGATTATTTTTTATAGAAAAATTTTCAAATTTTAGAAAAATTTTTTTTTCATTTTATTTTATTTCATTTAATTTTCTTATGTCGTTTATGTTATTACTGCTCCATAAAAGTTAAAAGGCAGTCGGAACTTTCAGAGCTTCGCCCTGATACGAGCAGTCTTGTATTTTTTAAAAAAATTCTAATGAATTTAAAAAAATTAGTGCAATTTGGTAAAATTTTCTCATACTTTTATGAGTTTGACAGAGGGAAAAAGTTTCGAAAACTAAAAAATTTGAAAAGATAGTACAAACTGAAAAAAGCAATACAAATTATATACAGATCTGAAAGATATTTCACACAGATTTTATAGAGGTTCTTTACAATGAGAAATGAACAAGTTTGGCTCGCCTATTCTCCTCCCAGCCATGAAACAGAAAACTTTCTAGCTGAAAACAACGACTTTTGCAAGCATATATGGTTGAAAGCCCAGTAGGTGCAAAAAATGAGTTATCTGAGAAATCAAAGAACTTCAAAGACCCCATACTACATGTTTCTGCTACTGCATGTCTCAATTCCCAAATTGTTTCACATAAAGCAAGTAAAACGGACTGAGAGGCTTGATACATGGGCTTTGAGAACCTTATCTCCTGAAAAGAACAAAAACTGATGGCTCTTTTTCCTTTTCCCCCCACCTCACATAAGCGTCAATTTTATGGTGTAACGAGGGGTTTTACAAGGTTATTTATGAAGACCAAAAATGTTTGTCATAGCCTAATTAGTTCGCATGCCAATTTTTGTAACATTCGGATAAAGTGAACAAAACTTCACTAGTAAAATTTTGCAGGTGGGGGGGGGGGGGGGGGGAGGAAAAAGAACCAAACTGATTTCACATATTTAGGTCTATAAAAAATCAGGCCATTTGAATTTACAGAAGGGCCTTTTATTTAAGAAGTTTTTTTTTCTTCAAAAATCTAATAATTTTTTTCATTCAGCAAACGATTTCAATAGTCGAATAACACATCACGTTTGTTTTGGCATACGTTCGGAGACAACTAGATTCAAAGTATAGGTGACCTGGTTAACATTGGTTGGCTAAAATTATGAATAATTCAATTTTTTTTGCTTTTTATCTATAGTCTGCGCTTTTGTTGGAAAGAGTTCGCAATATTTTTCAAAGCAAAAAGAGGTTTGCAGGTTTTTCAAATGTGACGTCCAGCAATCTCATAATGTCTCAGAAAATGGTGCTCCAGGCAAAATCGGAATTTGCGCAAAAACATACCCAACGATTTTGAAAATAGTTTTTTTTAAATCATGAATTACTGCGAGAAATTTGCAAGTGCATCTCAAGTGGAACCTGATCCAAACTACATTTTATGATTCGATAAAATAGATATTTTACCACTGTAAAGTATTTAATATTAACCAATCATGATCCATCTAACTAACAACCCATTTATTTGTAAGTGCTGAAATTACTTGTAATTTCAGCACCAGAGAGATTTGAATTTAACTTAGAAATTAGTTGTCTCCCCAAGAGAACTTCAGCCGCCGCAACAAACCAGTATACCCTAGATCTATTGAGCCTAGCAGAGACTAGTTAAACACCCTGAGACTAGAAAGTATAAGAGTAAGATTAGGATCGGTATTAGACTAAGAAGTTGCACGAAACTATCCGGCCGAAAATAAGATAGCGTGACGAGCAGACTGTGTACCCTATCCGAAATTACTCTATGAGTTAACCACATCGGTCATAACTCATCTGGTGCGACCATAAGTCTCGAATAAGACCTTAATAGGTTAGAATTAACCAAAAAATAGATTAGAATTTAGACAAAACATTTTAAAAATGTTATACGACAATAATTTAATCGAAATGTGTCTACGACTCAATAGATCAGAGCCGATATTCCGAACGATAACAGAACTACCCGGAATTGGAAGAAGACCTCGAACAAGAGACGACATACCTCAAAGTAGAAACTTACCAAGTAGTTTTATGATCGTACGGCAAAAGCCAACACAAACTTTTATATTTAGAATCTTATTAGCAATGAATTTAGATTTTCATTTGCAAACATAAAGTTTTGAAGTAAATCTTCATGATCATTTCAGGCGCTAAACAAAATTATTAAAATGCAATAACGATTGATAAAAAGATCTCAGATCGTTTTCTTAATTTCTGCAGTCTTATATAAAACATATTTGAAAAATATTTATTGAAAATGAAAATAAAAATTAGTAGCATGACAATAAATTGTTAGTAATCATAAAATCCTCTGTTGTCCCAGCTTTATCACCTAAACATAACAGCAATCATAAGTTCACTATTATCATTAAAAAACTAAATCTTTTTCTTAGATAAACTTAAACAATTTTAAACTTAAATGCACTTAAATATCAAGGCTTATCCTTGGATCTAAATTAATTTTCTATTTCACTAAATTTAAAACCTGATCATCAAGGCCTATCCTTGGATCAAAAAGAACAATTTTGTTCTCCCCACCCACTTAGCAAGTGTCTAACGACCTCAAACGTCGATTCACTATCCAACCCTTCCAACCGACCCAAGATTAATAGAAGTTTTTAAATAAAACTAACCATTCAAGTTAGGATAAACAGTGAAGAACTTCGGTTATTCATCCTTCACTTGAACCCTCCTCTTACCAGACCCAGGATAAATCTTAGACTTAGTAAGTTTAAAACAGTATCTAACGAACTACTTGCGTTCTAATTATACCTG